CGTTTTCAAGCTACTGGACTGGAAAGGATACGGTATTAACATCAATGGCGAGTACATCACTCACCTTCGATTTGCCGACGATATAGTCATTATGGCAGAATCGCTGGAGGACTTAAGCATTATGCTCAATGACCTCAATAGTGCCTCCCAACGGATAGGTCTTAAGATGAACATGGACAAAACAAAGATCATGTTTAATGTCCATGTCACACCTATGCCGGTAGTTGTTGGGAGCACTATGCTCGAAGTTGTTGACGAGTACGTTTACCTGGGACAAATAGTCCGACTAGGTAAGTCCAACTTCGACCGAGAGGTCAATCGACGGATTCAACTCGGCTGGGCAGCGTTCGGGAAATTACGACATATCTTTTCGTCAGGTATACCTCAATCTCTAAAAACTAGATTGTACAACCAGTGCGTGTTGCCAGTGATGACTTACGGATCTGAGACGTGGTCCTTCACTGCTGGCCGTATGAGGACGCTTAAGGTCGCTCAGCGAGCTATGGAGAGGGCTATGCTTGGAGTTTCTCTGCATGATAGACTCAGAAATGAGGATATCCGCAGTAAAACCAGAGTGACCGACATAGCCCAATGGATTAGTAAGCTGAAGTGGCAATGGGCCGGCCATATAGCTCGAAGAACCGATAACAAATGGGGAAGAAAGGTTCTCGAGTGGCAGCCTCGTACCGGTAGGCGTAGTGTAGGGCGACTCCCCACTAGATGGAATGACGACCTGGTAAGACATGCAGGAAGTCGATGGATGCAGGTGGCTCAGGACCGTGCTTTGTGGCATTACTTGGGGGAGGCCTATGTTCAGCAGTGGACTTGTGAAGGGCTGTAATGATGATGATGATGAAACATAAACATGAATTTTACTGATGATAATGTCACAAAACGAAATGTTCTGTCCACAATTGCAAAAACCTTTGACCCTCTAGGTTGGCTAACACCTGAAATAATCTTAATTAAAATGTTTATGCAAAAGTTGTGGTTAGCTGGCTTAGCTTGGGATGAAGAACTACCTCATGATCTGAAAAATGAGTGGATTACTTATCTTGAACGTTTTGCGCAATCTGAACCCATTCAGTTCCCACGATGGCTTGGAGTCTCTAACAGCACAATTAGACAAGAACTGCATGGATTCAGTGATGCTTCCTGTGCCGCTTATGCTGGAGTAGTGTATCTCAGAGTTTGGGAAAATGATGTTGTTAAAGTATATCTGGTTATGGCTAAATCTAAAGTTGCTCCCGTTAAACAAATTTCACTTCCCCGTCTCGAGCTCTGTGGTGCAGTTCTTTTGGCGAAAATGATACAACATGTTAAGACTATATTAAATATCCCTGATGAAAATGTATATGCATGGACGGATTCGACCATAGTTTTGGCTTGGCTGCGTAAGTCACCTAATATATGGATCATATTTGTTGCTAATCGCACTTCAGAGATTTTGACATTTACGAGTAGTAACCAATGGCATCATGTTAGTTCCGCGAATAATCCAGCCGATTTAGCTTCCCGTGGAGTATACCCATCCGATTTGCAGCAGTCTAAACTATGATGGAATGGCCCACAATTTTTACAAAACCTCGATGTTGTTGTTAATTTAGATAACGTTGTACCTGCAACGGATTTAGAAATGAAGGTTAAAACTAATGTACAGACAAATATTAATGTTTTTAAAAATGATGCTGTTATTTCTTACTTAAAACGATATTCGACACTTTCGAAACTGATACGTGTCACTGCTTATTGTTTACGTTTTATTAAACTGTGTAAACTTAAAATATATAGGATACCAGTTGATGAACCCGTTTATATGAGCCCAGATGAGCTTGACGATGCTCTAAATAGATGTATTAAGATGTCTCAATCGGTTTCGTTCAGTGATAAAATTTCTCGATTGGCACATGGTAAACCAATCGAGCAAACTACATGTTCTTAACCCATATCTAGATGATAAAGGCATTATTCATGTGGGTGGTCGACTTGCCAATGCAGAGATTTCAGATACTATGAAAAAACCTATTATTTTGAGTAACGATTGTGGTCTTTCTAAACTTATTGTTTCAAACGCTCATTTGAAAACTCTGCATGGAGGGCATCAACTTACTTTGAACTTTATAAGACAAAAATTTTGGATTATTAGAGTCAAAAGTATTGTTAAAACTGTCCTCACTAAATGTATACCATGTTTTAAACAAATAGCTAATCCTTCCGTACCATTTATGGCAAATCTCCCTAAATTTCGTGGTAAACCAAGTCGTCCATTTTTGACGAGTGGAGTCGATTTCGCTGGACCTTTTACAATGAAAATGTACCCTGGTAGATGTAGAAAAACCTGTAAAGTTTATGTTTGCTTATTTGTGTGCACCGTCACAAAAGCCATTCATCTAGAATTGGTAACTGATCTCACTTCAGCTGCGTTCATAATTGCTTTTCGACGCTTCACAGCTCGCCGTGGTCACTGCAAGGAAATTTGGAGTGATCATGGTACAAATTTTGTGGGCGCAGCCCGTGAACTAGATTTTGCCTTTAGAGATGCAAAATCTGCAAGTATTTCTGAAATTGCTGAACAACTAGCTAATGACCAAACTCACTGGAATTTTATACCCCCTAGCGCACTTCACTTCGGGGGACTTTGGGAATCTGGAGTGAAGAGCGTTAAAGGACACTTGAAACGCGTAATTGGACAAACTTTACTGACCTACTAAGAGTTCTCTACTCTTTTAACTCAAGTCGAAGCTTGTGTCAACTGTCGTCCACTTACCGTAGTAAATCCTACACTTGATGAACCTCCCTTAACGCCTGGGCACTTTCTGGTTGGGGAACCGTTAATTGGTGTACCAGAACCACCTTTAATTGATGTTAAAGTCAGCCCTTTACATCGGTGGCATATTATTTAACGTATGGTGCAGTGTTTGTGGCAACGATGGCAAAATGAGTATCTGACAACGTTGCAACATCGTTATAAATGGAACAAGAGTCAGCCAGAACTTGCTATTGGTACTATCGTGTTGGTAAAAGATGATAGACTTCCTCCTGGAAAGTGGATTTTGGGACGAATAATTCGGAAGCACGCAGGTGCAGATGGCGTCACAAGAGTTGGTATGTGTCTTTACAATACAAGGATAACATTTTTAAGAGGCCTATCGCAAAATTGTGCCCTCTGCCCCTGAATGATTCCGACTAGTTATAAAAATTTGGATTGTTTTATTCGTTTGTTTTGTTTTATGTTCACTTTTTTTAAGGACTGTAATTGTCCTTGGGCGGCGGAATGTTTAGCTAACAAACTTTGTAAGTAAATTTAGTTCTTTCTGTTCTCCCTAGATGGCATTATCGCCGAGTTAATCGCGGTATCATTTGGGTTTTCAGTATGATGTATAGTTAAACATTCTTAGCCTCATTGTGTGTTCCTATAATACAGTGTAGTGGTGTATGAGTAAAACATAGTGATAAAGTGTGAGCACTGAGCATTTCATCAACAGTTTTTGTTATTGTTTTGTGACGTTTTGTATATTATCACTAGTATGAAATCGAGTTCACCGACATGAAAATCTCATTAAGACTTTACGTCACCATGAAAGAAGCGGAAAGTTTCGCATATTTTGAAAATCGAAAAAATAATGATTGTAAACATCTATAAATATGTAAAAGAAACGTGGTCTAGTGACGTATATCCATCCAAAACGGATATGAAAAAGAAGACTGCCGATATTTTAGGTTGTAATCAATGTGCCGGACTTTTCTACGTTTTCATCATCATAAAATGATTCTGAAATAGATACAGATGAATAGTCTGTCAAGTGTCTGACAATCTATTCTGAGAAGTTTTATGTGTGCTTCAAGGTTAGCTGCTTAAGAATGCTTAGCATTAAAAGTTCGTCCTTTTACCTGACTGCCAAGAAGTAGTTATGTTTTATACAACTACCTACTTATTAAAGTACTTACCTACTATTAACGTAATAATGAAAATTGTAATAACTCATGGTTTATAAATAATAAACTTAAATTAATATTAATTTGCTTTTTAATTCATTTAGGTACAGGATAATCTTCTTTCTTTATCCTATACCTTTAAACGAGCAATTCTTGTATATATATATATATAATCGGTATCTCGGAAACGGCTCCAACGATTTTCATAAAATTTTGTGTGCAGGGAGTTTCGGGGGCAATAAATCGATCTAGCTAGGATTTATTTTTAGAAAATGTCTTTTTGTCCGTGTTTTTATGCCCCATTTACATTCAGCTCGTTTGGGCAGGGAAGTGAGCAGGACAGTGAGCAGGGCAGTATGTAAACAGGATACTCGCGATGACACTGCCGCTGCCGCTGCCACTGCCCGACGCTCCCTCAAATGTCGGTTTTTCGTGCGGAAGTCAAAGGACGGGCAGCGCGAGCGGCAGTGAGTGTTCACATTCAGCTCCATCGCTCACTTCGCGCCAAGCGCCTGGATGCAGTGTTGCCACCTTAGTGGATTTTCCACTAAATCTGGTGGTTTGGAACCCCCCTTTTAGTGGCAAATTTTTGCTTTTAGTGGCTAATGGTTTTTTTAGCGGATTAGGAATTTTATAATAAATTATAAGAAACGAGTCGTTTCATATAAATAGTCGTTTCAAACGTCTATTTAGCCATATTTTATACTTTCAAATATAAACCTATATATTTTTAGGAGTATATTTTACTACGCAGGCAACACCAATCCACGCATTCACGGGGGTTCCCCGTTAAATATATTTAGTATAAGGCAACTAATATAAAACGATGGAATGCAAGGGCGAGATCTATCTGTATCTCGCTCTCCGGAATACTAAATAGTTGAGAGGGATATAATTTCCGCTTTCTATTCTATTTGACAGCATTTTACAATACTTAGTCCAATGTTTTTGAACTCGGTCACGCACGATCACTCGGATTCAGTGCCTCAATGTGCGTTGTTGTTTGTTTTTGTTTCGTTTTGCGATTACACATTTTTAAATAAAAATATTATTCATACGACGTCATGCCGAAACCTCAATATTCCCAAAAATTTAGGGATTCTTGGCTTCAAGATCCCGATTTAAAAGAATGGCTTCAAGCAGTTGAAAGTACCACTGGCCAAGTAGCAAAATGCAAGTTTTGTGGAACGATATTAAGAAGTCACTACGGAGATTTAAAAACACATGCTCTTTCGAAAAAGCACCAACAAAATAGAAAGGTAAATTATAGCTTTGTCTTTGTTATTTATAACGGTTCGAACTTGGTCAATTAATGAGGTTGCATTTAAATTTTTCTTATATATTTCATTATTTGTTTATAGGTTATCACCAAACAACCTAAGCTGACATTCAAAAAGGAGTCTACTGATAATAAAAAGAAAGATGAAGCCAGAGTTGCCTTATTTACAGCAATGCATACAAGTATACGAACAGTTGATCATTTAGGAGAAGTTATTAACCATAGCCATGAAAAAGAAATAAATAAAATGCAGATGCACCGAACTAAGTGCACGTATGTAATAAAAAATATTTTAGCATCTCATTTTACAGAACTTATAAAAAACGACATTAAAGATCAACCATACAGTTTATTAATAGATGGATCCACAGATATTGCTGTACAAAAATATTTGGGTTTAGTTGTAATTTATTACAGCACTACACATGAAAAAATAGTTTCAACTTATTTGGACCTTGCTGAACTCGACGCATGTAATGCTGAAGGTATTGTTTCTGCCATAAAGCGGACGCTTAAACATTTCGACTTGCGAATTGAAAACTTAATGGGTATTGGCACAGATAATGCTTCGGTGATGGTTGGCGTAAATAATGGAGTTTTTTCCCGATTGAAACAAGAAATACCGCACTTAGTTTTGGTACGTTGTTTATGCCACTCCTTGCAACTGGCTGTTTCAGCAGCAGCAAAGGAATTTCTTCCGCGAAATCTTGAATTTTTAATTAGAGAGACATATGATTGGTTTGCTCGCTCGTCTTCCAGACAAGTTATCTATAAAGAGCTATACAAATCCATCAACGATGGACAGAAGCCTCTTAAAATTGTTCAAGCCTGTCAGACTAGATGGTTATCCATAGAGTCTGCTGTGTCGAGAATTTATACGCAATGGCTGGAGCTTAAAACTCATTTTTCGATTGCTAAGTTGCACGAAAGGTGCCACACGTCAGAGCTATTGCACTCTATGTATGCGAATGATATAAACTATGCATATGTATCATTTATTTATCCAATTTTGATTGATATAAACAGAGTTAATAAAATGTTTGAGTCAAAAAATACGGACCACACCTTATTGTGCGGTGAATTAACAAACTTGATTGATACGCTTGTCACCAAAGTAACGTTGCCTACACATAAGATAGATATCTTTACTCAAAATATTCGTGACTATTTGGACCAAAGATGCTACCTGGGATTCCGATTCGAAAAACATATTCAAGAAATGAAAGAGAAAGGTTTTCCCCGGGAAGAGGAAGAAGTATTGCGGAATAGGTGCATACAGTTTATAGTTTGTCTCATTGACGAAATAAAAAACAGATTGCCGGAAAATATTACTCTCATGAAACAAATATCCCGTATAAGTGTCGAAAAAGCCCTGCATCACAATAAAGAAAATCTTGTTGATATAATGGCTCGGTTCGTAACAAGTACAGAATTAATTGCAAAAATTGACGATCAATGGCAGCAAATTCATTTACTGAGATGGAATGAAACAAAAGATACAAAAAATTTTTGGAGCAAAGTCTTGAAATTCAAAGATGCACAAGGTGTTGCTCGATTTCAAGAATTAGCAACATTTGCGATTACACTTTTGGTATTGCCACATTCGAATGCCGATGTGGAAAGACTTTTTAGTAGCATGAATATTATAAAAAACAAGCAGCGAAACAGAATGAAGCTAACTCTTTTGAAATCAATTCTAAAAATACGCTGCGGTAGTATGCAGTTAATGGGAAAGTGCTGCAACAATTATGAAATTCCTTTAAATCTTATAAAACAAATTGGGACGAAGGAGTCATATCAGTCCGATAAGGATAACAGTAAGGCTGAAAATGAAAATGCAGATTCATCTGAAGACGATTTATTAATGTAAATAATATCTTAAGCAACTTTATTTTTTTAATTAATAAAAGTAAAAAAATTATATTAACAACAATGAGATTTTTAATAATAAACGTACTTTTACTTTTTTTTTGCTTTAATCATATTCATATATCTTAGTGGAAATTTTAGTGGTTTTCAGAGGGGGACATCTTTTTGTTAGTGATTTTCTGGTGGTTTGAGGAGCCTTGTCTGGCGGATTGCTATTTCATCCGTTGGCAACACTGCCTGGATGACCGGACGTGCGTGCCGTCTTGTTATTAAATAAGTACGATCTACCAAAATGCCTTTCGAGTGGAATAATGAAAATACAATAAAGTTTTTAGAACTGCTGGAATCAGAAAAAACTATGGGATTTCAACGATAAAAACCACAATTCATCATCTTCTACGAATACGAACTTTCTTTTTGAGATAACATTGTACCTATGTACATAATTAATTATAAATTCGTCAAATTTATTATTTTAATATAAAATTTAGTTTAAGGAATTAATGAACATTGACATTTTATTTCTAAAAACGATTAGTAACTCATATTGACTATTTATTTATTAAAATGTAAAATAAGTTAAATGGTAATATTTGCATAATAGCCTTTGCATAAAATTTTGAATAATAGCTTAACTAATCTCATATAATATTTAATACTATTTATGTAACAAGAGGACTTAAGCACTATGCTCAATGACCTCAATTGTGCCTCCCAACGGATAGGTCTTAAGATGAACATGGACAAAACAAAGATCATATTTAATGTCCAAGTCACACCTATGCCGGTAGTTGTTGGGAGCACTATGCTCGAAGTTGTTGACGAGTATGTTTACCTGGGACAAATAGTCCGACTAGGTAAGTCCAACTTCGACCGAGAGTTCAATCGACGGATTCAACTCGGCTGGGCAGCGTTCGGGAAATTACGACATATCTTCTCGTCAGGTATACCTCAATCTCTAAAAACTAAATTGTACAACCAGTGCGTGTTGCCAGTGATGACTTACGGATCTGAGACGTGGTCCTTCACTGCTGGCCGTATGAGGACGCTCAAGGTCGCTCAGCGAGCTATGGAGAGGGCTATGCTCGGAGTTTCTCTGCGTGATAGACTCAGAAATGAGGATATCCGCAGTAAAACCAGAGTGACCGACATAGCCCAACGGATTAGTAAGCTGAAGTGGCAATGGGCCGGCCATATAGCTCGAAGAACCGATAACCAATGGGGAAGAAAGGTTCTCGAGTGGCAGCCTCGTACCGGTAGGCGTAGTGTAGGGCGACCCCCCACTAGATGGAGTGACGACCTGGTAAGATATGCAGGAAGTCGATGGATGCAGGTGGCTCAGGACCGTGCTTTGTGGCATTACTTGGGGGAGGCCTATGTTCAGCCGTGGACTTGTGAAGGGCTGTAATGATGATGATGATGATGATGTAACAATAATGTAATAATTCAATTAATAATTCAGGAACAATTTATTGTATAAGAATTCAAATAGAGTGGATCTGTATAAGTATTTCATTAATACATAATATTTTAATTCAAAAAGAATGTTTGCACCTAACTTTTAAGCAATGCAATTTAAAATATAACATTGGGTTTGTGTAAATAGCTGTATTTCATATCATTTTTGCATGCCAATTATGGCAAAACATGTCAGTTCCACGTCATTGATCATCTTATGTACTATGTTTTTAAGCTAATAAATTTTCTATCTACATATCTATCTTCTTTTGAACTTGATATCTTTTTAAATTATTAACATAATTTTGTATTGCAAGAAGACACAGCGCGGACGCTGTAATTATTTCGACGTCTGCCATAGTCGAAAGCCGAAAGCGATGTGAGTGGTAGGGCAGAGTGTGAATACACACTTCCCGCGATCCTGCTACGGCAGTATTTAGGGAAGTATTGCCGGCAGCGCGAGGAGCAGTGGCAGTGGCTGAATGTAAATGGGGCTTTAGGCAATGAAAAACTGCTACAATATCGTTAGAATAAGAAGGTAAATTTTGACAGTTTGTTAATGATTACAAATTGCTTAATTGGTATATTGGGCGGTCACAAAATCGTAATACCATGGTTCGAGCCCAGACCGACCGACCGATATTTTTTAATTTTTTTTCAAGTTTCTTTCTTTTTTGACAAAATCTATTTTTCGAGCTCTTGTTTTAGTATTTTTTAAAAACACGAAAATTTAAATTAAACTAATTGCACTCATGATTTTTATTCAAATAACCAGTTCAGTTTTTTCTATTATGTCGCTAAGATCAAAAAATATTATTCGTATTTCATCAGTATGTAATTTGTATCTAAATATAATTTACAAAACACACGAATTAAAAAAAACCGGTCAACCGGGTACTTATATAATAATAGACATAGGGCCTGTAAAGAACTTCGTACTCGGAACCCTTATCTTTCACTCTGATGATGTATGTAATGATAAAAGGATAAAAAAATTAACCTAAACAAAAAAGATTGCCTACCTCGATGATATCATCAGAGGTCAATGTACTTTTTCCGCCTGCCCTGGAAACGTACTATAGTGAAAGTTGGGTGTGGCAGAAGAAGCACAAGAGTAGAATGAACGCAGTAGAAATACGGTCGTTAAGGAGTATGTTAGGGCTGAATCTGAATGACGGATGAGAAATTGTGTGATAAGAGAAGAGAGTGGTTTGCAAGATGATGTTGTGACCAGGATTAAGAAAGAAATGCTTCGGGGGTTTGGTCATGTGGAAAGAATGAATGAGGAAAGACTGATAAAGAAAATTTATGTTGCAGAAGTGAATGGCAGAGTCGGAAAGGCACGCCCTAGGCGAAAAATTGTCGACCAAATTGGCGATTTATTGAAAATGGGCCAAATTAAGAGTACCCTTAACCGACGAGCATGTATGCGTAGGTATATGGATGTGAAGGAGGCGAAAGGTGTGTCAGGATCGTGCCAAATGGTGTAGTTAGTGCCTTAGTGTAATTTCTGCCTACCCCTCTGGGTGACAGGCGTGAGTGTTTATGTTAGTATTATAATAACCCTTTTTATACAAATTTAATTTAATAAAATTTTGAACGTTTTGCAGGTAAAATTTTGTATATTTTCTGGGATTTTGTTGTAAAAGCGTATACATCAGCCCAAGAATGAATTACTGACTCGGTGAAATCGAGTAGCTGGTACTACTAGCTTGTGTCCGTTTCTAGTATTTACAGAATAGATATCACTTATTTTTGTAAACTACTTTTATTTTTGTGTAAGTACATTATATTTTCATAAATGTATTGAGAGGCCAAGGTTAATATATTAATTTCTTTCAATTTTTGTCTGAGCGACTCTTTACGTTTTAAATCATAGATTGCAGATGTAGAAAATCATTATTATTTGTATTCTTAATCCAGGGTAGGTGCAGTGTCTATAGGTCATAGCATCCACTTACCATCAGGCTGTGTGCTTGTTTGGCCTCACTATTTCAATTTAAAAAAAATGTTCCAAAGGTCCTAATTCAGAAGTGGATTTAAAAGCGAAATAGAGAGATGGTAATAAATTAGAACAACTGTAAAACATATTTTATGTTAGTATAAAGTAATCCTAGATATAACTTAACAGCGCACGAGAGTGTGTGGCGCAAACTTGCCTCTTGTTTGTATAAAGAGGGTAATTAATTTAACTTGGATGAGTTGTGTGCAGTAGCTGTCCTTCGACATACGAAACTTGTCTAAAGTCAATATTGAGGCTCTATGTTGTCTGAACGACGCTTTAATTAATTAGAAAAAAAGTTCCCCGTGACGTTCGAGAGTTGCAAAGGGATCGAAATGTCTGAAATTAAAAATAAGTTTAAATTAAACCGGATGTACCATTGAGCTTGCTTATTATGTACTACGTACTAGAGGCGACACGGCATTCAGCTACTCTGTTCCACTCAACTGCGGTGCATACACCGCACTTTAATCAGTCACTCGCTAGGCGCTTGTAGAGTTGTCACGTGTTGTGTTGATTAAAAAAAATCTCTTGATAAAAATATGCCCTCGTGTGTACTTAGATATTGCACAAATAATTCAAGAAATGTCAGTAAAAATCAAGGAATTACTATTCATCGGTTAATAAGATACTCAATCAATAAAAAAAGTATTATAGATTAATAATGAAACAAATTATTCCTAAGACGCCATCTCGTGTCATAGAATATAGATTATGAAATTAATATGTTCAGATGCGACATTTCTGTGGGTATTTAAGTATAAGACAAATATATTATTATACACATTTTTTATGTAGAAACATATACAGTATGTAACAAAAACCCTGTGGTTCCCGTTAAGTGTATTATCAGAATCAGTATCCAAGCGCATGGAAATACTTTTTTTTCAAAAAACACATTTAAAAAAAAATTAAGGAAAAATATTAATTTGTCAATTGTACGTGGTTTTATTTCCTCTAACTCACACGAGTATCGGTAATGTGGGCTCTTTGACAATCCTCTTACTCAGGCTAATGCAGAGATAATAAAACCACATACATTTTGCAAATTAATTCTTTTTTCATTAAATTTTTTAAATGTTTTTTTTTTTTGAAAAAAAATTCTATATGCTTGGATACTGATTCTGATCACGCAGTTAACAGGAACCACAGGGTTTTTGTTACATGTTATATAAGTTATTATAATTAGGTTAAATTCTTCATATTTAAATATGCTTATTATTCTTTTATTTTATTGAATAAAACTAAATTTACGGATTTTATCGCGTTTATTTCACTACTTTTACTTATTTTTAATTCCCGACGTTTCGGGTGCTTTACAGCAACCATGGTCACGGGGGGGACTGAGATGTTTGACGTCCCAATATCACAGTTAGTCCGGCTACCTTCAGTTTTTGAATATTAATTTTTGGTCCGATTTACGCAAAACGAGCTTATAGTATCATGAAGTCTTGCAGTGGTATGCTTAGGTTTGGGTTTAATTTTGTTAATTATAGGATCCCAAGCAGGTGGCAGCACCCATCCATCTTCTCTATTGAAATTTGGATGTTTTTTAATTTCAATAGCCTCGCGTATCATCCTTGGTAGGAATGGGTGTTCTTTTGCGAGAATTTGTGGTTTATAAAACGAATGTAATGGTGGGGACGATCTTGAACATGTTCGCAGACTGCAGCCTTCCCAGAGCGTCGGTGCTTCACGTCAGCTATATGTTCTTTCACGCGGGTTTTTATGGATCTTTTTGTTTGACCTATGTAAGAGAGACCACATTCACAATCTAACTTGTACACTCCTGCATCTTGTAGAGGGATATTACACTTGACGGATGGTAAAAATTGACTAATCTTCTTCGGCGGCTTGTAGTATGTTTTAATAGAAGCTCGCTTCAAGATGTAGCCAACCTTGTCTGTGACTCCTCTGACATATGGTAGTACAGCAGGTACACGCTCGACTGTGGCCGGCTTCACTCGGTCACTGTGACGTAGGCGCGGGACACGAAGCTTGTTGTCTTGCAATACTTGCTTGACGTGCTGAAGTTCGGCGGCCAGATGTTTTCTGTCACAGATCACTCGTGCTCTCTGAAACAAAGATTTACCCACGGTAGCTAACTGTGAAGGATGATGGTGAGATTCACCATCATCCTTCACAGTTAGCTATCCGCACGTCCGCTGGGTTGAGCTGTCGTCAAAATCTCCCAAGAGCTTCACAATGTGACGCATCAGCATATAGTGAAGAAAAGAAAAAAAAGCTCGGGAACCTTGAAACTGGACCGATAAATCTATATGGATTGAAACTTATAAAGATTATAATATAAAGAAGACTTGGCTTTAGCCTTTGTGGTTTTTGATTTTATGAAGAATTAAAGAAAATAAGACTTGACTTCGGCCTTTATGGATTTTGAAGAGATGGAAAGAAGAAAAATAAAAATCAGTTGCCGCTAGATATTCGGAGATGTACAAACTCGGACAGGTATCGGACGTGTTATTGTCAGCTCCGTCGTTTTATTTTGATATTCGTGGTTAAAGTTCTAAAACGTCATCGATTCGTATATAATTCGTAGCATAATTCTTCGGCCTTGTGTTAATATATAAATTGTGTCCGTGTCTTATAAACTGTGAGTGCTATAAATGATTTTATTTCAAGATTAGCCCTGTGATAAGTGGTTTATCCGTACATTTGGTGGACAATATATGATTAAATATCCACTACAATAAAAGATCTCGCATCTATATTACGATACAGATCAACTTTTCGTCAAGTCATACCAAAGCGCTTTGGCGCAGAGGTCTGTTCTAACATCCTGAAACCGTGGTTCGATTCTCCCATTGTCATTCGTCTTTTTAATCCTGTTTTTTTTTTCTTAACAAATTATTTTAATTTATTATTGATTTTTGTCAGTTCAAATAAAAGTCGAGGTTTGATCGCCAGCTAATGTTAAAAAACATCATTTACGCAATTAGCCACGTTACAAACTATACTTTATTATTGAATTTTCGTATATCACAATGGAAAACAAAAATTTTTGTATTGCCTGCAAAGATTTGCCACCACCTCCTGGTGAAAGAGAAAAGTGTTTATGTATGCACTGCAGGCAATAATACCATTTAAAATGTTTGAATATGGATAAGACTGCTTTCTCTAAATTAGACGGCCAAAGTAAATCTAAATGGAAATGCCCAACTTGCTTTAATGTAACAAATCGACGCAAGGGAGATATTGCGAACACACCAATTAGAAAATTAGTGCCATTTAATGATTCAATAATGTCCTGCGATGACTCTCTTTCTGTTGAGCACTCAATTTTTCACACAAAATTTCACTAGGTCCTCAGCCATTAACTTCTATGTGCCCTTCTTTAAGACAAGAAGTTACATTAGAGAGTATAGCCAGACTTCTAGATGTGAAACTTGATGCTAAATTAGATGAAAAATTTGAATCACTCAAGAAATCGTTCTATATTAACGTGAAATCATTAATCAAAACGGAGATTGTTACAGCCATTGATCAAGTCAAAATTGAATTTACCGAGACTACAGACTTTCTACATCAGGGGCAAAAAGAACTCAAGTCAAATATTGAATCTGCTGAAATAAAAGTTAAGGCAATACAAAAAATTAATACCGATCTAACAAACAAAATGAGTGTACTGCATCTTCGTTTGGAATCCATAGAAAAAATTTCCCGCAGTCACAACGTGGAGATTTAAGTAGTTCCCGAAAAACGGAATGAGAATCTTTTGACGCTTGTCAAAAATATTTATGCTACAGTAAAACTACCAACGTTGATTGTCGTCTACGTGCACCTAGGTGCGATGCAGGTATCGGGCCTCGGGGTTATACCCCATTGCCCGGACTTTCCCCATGGCCCACCACTATTGGCCAGTCCTGGGTGCCTATATTAGGCTAGTTGCACGCGGAAACTTTCCGTTATATGTTAATTTTATTTTCCCGTAGTTAACCGACTACGGGAAAAAAGGAGGTTGTCCGATTGAAAAGTTGTAGTTGGCCTATCAGCGGCATTGAGGGTTGTTACTCGACTCTCTAATCACTATAGAGAGGAGTTCTCTTGGAAGAGGTCGCCCGTCCGGGGGCCGAGCGTGCAACGGCGCAAAGCCGTTGAGGTGTTCATGTGGCCCGTTGTCGGCGCGGTCGAACATGCCGCGCGCCAGCCGGGCCACGAAGTCGGTGATGGTCTCGATTTTCAGATCGGCCGCTATGACGTCATTCCGGACGTAGCGACCTGCTCCGACAATCGTCCTTAATGTCAGATTCTGCTGGGCCTGTAGTCGCCGCCTCAGAGGGTCGCTCAGAATCGCGTACCAGGCCGGAGCAGCGTAGGTGATGATGGTCCGGATATACATCTTGTATATCCGGAGCTTGGTTTTAATCGGCAGCTTGGATGCCAGGACCGGCAAGAGCGTCGCCCGCACACATCGGGCCCTGCGGACGACGAAGTCGACGTGCGCGGTCAAGCTCAGCGTCCTGTCGATCCTGCACCCAAGGTAGGTTACGGCCTTCTGGTACGCAATCTTCTGGCCGTTGAGGGTCAGCGGAGGTGGAAATTTCCTGAGGCGGCGAGTGAGCAGAGCGGTCGTCTTACCAACGTTGACGACCATCCTCCACTCATCAAGCCATGGTGGCAGCAGGTCAAGCAGACGCTGCATCCTGGCAGAGGCTATGTGGGCTCTTCTGGACGAGGTGAAATAGGCGTTATCGTCCGCATATAGCGCCAGCTCAATGTCGTCCTCCCACTCTTGAAGACTGCCTGCCAGAGTTGGGATATCGTTAGTGTAAGCCGCGTACAGGACTGGAGACAAACAGCTGCCCTGTGGAACGCCGGTTCTGATGGATCTTGTTGCGGACTCGGCATCCTCTACGCAGACGTAGAAATTCCTGTCTTCCAGGAAAGACGCCACTAGCCGCAACATAGCAAGAGGGACACTGGCCTGTTCGTACAGCTTGTAAAGCAATCCTGAGTGCCACACCCTATCGAACGCCTTCTCGATGTCGAGAAAGACGCCCAACGATATGCGGCCACGATTGTACTCTGCCGCAAGGAGGTGCAGCACTCTAGTCAACTGTGTGACTGTAGAGTGACCCCTCCTGAATCCATGCTACTCCGCCCGAAGTTGGATGCACGGACGGAGACGGCTATGTGCGGTAATAGCGTGATCGGCCTGTAGGTGGCAGCTCTACGCCTGTCCTTCCCGGGTTTCGGCAAGACGATGACTTTGCCTTTCTTCCAGTCCTCCGGGAAGTGGGATGTCCGCAATATCCCATTGTAGAGTCGACCAAGCTCTACTAGGACTCTATTGGGCAGCTGTCGGAGTGCAGCGTTGGTAACTCCATCGTGCCCCGGCGCCTTCCTCGGTTGCAGGCGGGTTACTGTCCTCCGCAGTTCTGCGGGGGAGATGAACCACTCTCCTGCAAGAGGCGGCGGAGGCGACGACAGGAACTCCTCTACGCGACTTTCCTTACGGGCATGAAGCTCCATGCACTCCGCACTTGCTGGATTCGGCATAAATTGCTCCTCGAAGTGCTCGACTAGGAGATCCGCTCTGCCCTTGGCATCGTAGCAACGTTCACCCGCGCTGTTGGTCAGCGGGCAAACGGGAGGTCTGGTCTTGGTCAACTGTCGGTTCAGTTTATAGAGCGACGCATCTTGCTCATCCGTCTACCAGGTGCGCCGGTCCCAGGCCTCTCCTCTGAAGGCCTGGACTGCAACCGACAGTTCCTCCGATACGGTGTTAAGTTGCTTTTTTATCCTGGGGCAGCGAGTACGCGCCCAGAGCTTTCTCAAGAGCGCTCTCTTGCGCCTGATCTGCACGCATATCTCTCGCGGCAGATCGTGTCTCGCCTTGCAGTGATCGGGACGATCGTAGAGGGCCTCCTGGATGTTCCTGGTAATTCTAGTAGCAGCAGCCTCTACGTCGTCCGCTGTGCTTATAAGCTGGTGGACTGGAGGTCTCTCCTGTAGATGTTGGTAATAGAGCCTCCAGTCGACACGTGTCTTGAATGCTCTGGGCGGCGATGTCACCGCCTTTAGGCCAAGGGTTATCAGAATAGGGAGCTGCTGTGAGGAGAGGTCGTACAGCACTTCTACCACTATCGGGTAGTTGACGTTCCTAGTGAGCACGATGTCTAATACATCCGGATGTCTCCGTGGGTCAGATGGAACGTGAGTTGGTTCTTCGGGACCTAATACGTCATAGTTGTTCTTTTCAGTATCTTCATAGAGTTCAAGACCCGGTGGGGTGATCACTCTAGACCCCCACGCCGGGTGTTTGGCGTTTAGGTTCCCGGCGATGATAGTGGGTGTTTCGCCTTCCATCACCGTCCGGATGTCTGAGGAGCAGATTGGAGTCCCTGGCGGGCGGTATGCTGCGTAGATCCTTAGTTCCTCGCCCGCCGCCTCCATTCGATAGAGCGCATAGTCTGGTATGGTGGTAGTTCCAGCTCTTGGTGGACGATGTCCCTCCTCACTAGAACCGCCGTCCCTCTGTAGGCGGCCCCTTGAGGGGTGACCTCGTCCCTTGCGTATAGGTGGTAATTTGGCAGCTTAATATGCGTCTTGGGGTTTAATTTTGTCTCACCCAGCAATATAATGTGCAAGTCCTGTTGCTGGGCGACTGTGCGGAGTTCATGCAGCTTCTGCTGTATTCCGTCCGGGTTCCAAAAGAGGCGGCGCAGATTACTCTCCTTCGTAATGCCGGGCTAGTAGGTTTGCCAGCGCCTTCATTATCGCCGTCACTGGATTTGTCCCGGCTCTGATGTCGGCCAGGACTTGTGTGCCGACCTCGATGGCAATACCAACCAAACGTTGTATTGCATCTGCTGTCTCGAGGCCGGCAGTAGGTGTTCTCCTATAAGAAGGCGTTGGAAATTGTCTCGGGTGTGGGGGGTCCTGGTCCTGCACTCTTGGCTTGTTGGTAGAGCGCGCACAGGTAGACTGTAGAGCGGGCTCTATGTTCAGGTAGAGCCCTTTTTGGCACTCTACCTACGCTTTTGGTCATCTCCCGAGTAATCTGCGCCTGTGAGGCTACTGGTCCAGATGGTGTCGGGGTAGAGGTAACAGCCTGAGGAGGCTGCGACTTCTTCCTGCTCCTCTCTCACCTCCTCTTCTTGGAGGGTTGCCGTTCTGTGGCGGGGTTGGCGGGGGGCTGTAGAGTCGCCCCCGGTGGTTGCCCTTGTCACTGTGGGTTCCACCGTTTCCTTAGGTGTTACGGGTGGGGGGGGCCTGGTTGCCTGCCCTTCCCTGTGGTGGTAACCCACCCGTCTTTGTGAATGGTCACGGTTTTTGGGCGACTCTGGGGGATCTTTTTTGGGTCCTCCGGGAGTAGCCCCGGCAAAGTTATCCCCTGCCTCCTAGCAGTCCTCCTCAGGACTGGGCAGCGGCGGTCGTTTGCCGTGTGGTTTTTGCCACAGTTGGCACACTTGGGTTCTTCCTCTCTACCCCGAGGGCAAAGGCTCGCAATGTGCTCCCCGGCGCAGCGCATGCACCTCACTGGCCTGAAGCAGTTGGCGGAGGCATGCCCGAAGGCCTGGCATCGGTGGCATTGAGCCGGTCCTACTTTTCTCTGCCAGGTCTCGATGACGACTCCTCTCATATAGAGGAGTTCGTCGACTTTGTAGAGATCCTGGAGCTGCTCCAGGCTCAGGTGGTAGAATTGGGCAAAGTAGATGCAGCCAGGTCTGCCCCTACGCGGTGGAATTGCTTTGACGTACTTAACGGGGAAGCCTTTGCCCTAATAGCCTCCTCTATTGTCTTGGTGTCCGTGCCCATTGGTAGACCCCGGATGCCCACTTTAGTGGGCTTGTCCTCCTCCGGGGTGTAACAATACCACGACAGTGTTGTTATTTCTTTTGACAGTTCCACCATATATCGTTGAACTGTCCTAAATTCATTGGTGCTCTGAGGTGTGAACCTTACGCCTTTCCCGAACGGACGGGCATTCAAAGGGTGGCCCAACATTCTGTTGAGCTCCTTAAAATGCCTCGTCCAATCCGGTAGGCATTCAGCCACTATAGGTGGATATCTGACTTTTCCTGGTCGGCAGGATTATCAGTAGGCACTGCCGCCGGTTGTGGTCGTGGTACTGCTGGTGCAGCTACTATATGGGTATAGCTGGTGGATGGTCGTTGGCCATCATCCTGCGGGAGCCCGAACGGGTTTGTTGTTGCCACCGGCGATGATCGGCCGGCGGATGCTGCGAGGGTTGCATAAGTTGTTGACCCCCAGCTGTAAGATTTCTCGCCCCCCCTGCTCATACTGGGCCGAATCTTGGCTTCGCCGATCCGGTAATATGGAGCGGGGTGGGGGGGGGGGTTGTGGTGGATAAGGTGACTTAGGTGGTGATCTGAGCACCTTCTTCGTCGTCACCTGGTGGTATTCCTCGTCTTCCGATGTGGATGGTGGTTCATCGGAAGACATCTGGGAGCCTATCCGGTGCCTCTTCTCATATAGGGAGGCTTCGGTTTCCGGTGGGGTATGGCGGAGTATGTCGTACCGGCGGTTATTTGCAGCCACTGCTAACTACAGATAACGCACACCTAGGAGATCCTTAACTACCAACGACAGGCACTGAAATTAGTATGTGTCGAAGGGTAGCTAAATTGCCGACCACATCAGCCCAACGCCCGCGTAATATTTTGCTTTTACTGCATTCCACTCGGCATCGTGATAATCTTCTGTCAGCGATCAAACGTT